CGGCCCGCCAGCCCGCCCTCCGAGCCACCCGCCCGCGGGCCGGCCGGCCGGAGAGTCGCGGGGCAGGCAGGTAGGGGCTGGACCGGGCGGGGCAGCGGGCGGGGAAGAAAGGGAGGGAGCGCTGGCAGGGCGGGGGCTCTCCCCCAGCTGTTCTCTGGCGCTGCACATCTGGTTCCGGTTCCTCTCCCCTGGGGAAGTGAAAGTGGAGGGGAGGATGCAGCCGGGAGTTAGCTAGCCGTGCCCCGGCGCCCTGCACCCCTCCTGCTCCCGTGGGTCCGGAGCCCGAGCACCCCTCCCTCCTGCCCGGGTCACGCGGCGGCCGGCGCTGCTGCCGTCACGTCCCCAGCGGCCGCGCACCCGCTCCTCTCTGCCCTCCTGCTCCTTCCTCTGCCTCCTCCCGCTAGGCGCGCCCTTTGCCCCAACCCGAACTTCCCGTCGCCTGGCTTGTGGGCGTTGGGACCCAGAGTGGCGCCCTTGCCCCTTGCCTTCCCCAGTGAGAAAGGGCTGCCTTCTGCAGGACTCTTCCTGGCTCGGTGAGGAGGCCAGGCTGCGCAGGTCCTGCCGATGGGTACCACGCGCCCCTTAGCTTGGTCCCACCTCGTGGCTCCCGCATGTTGCCTGGAGCATGGGGCATAGGGCTCCCATTCGCCTGCACTGGACGAGACACGGGGCTGTGTCCCAGAGCTAAATCAGGAGGCTGACGCTGACTCCTGGCTTCACCTCGCAGATGTGGAGACTAAATTTAGCAGGAGTTGGGGAGGGGTGTGTGTGGCCAGAGCCCAGGTTAAGGAGACAACCAGCCTGGTTCCATGAGATTCCATCGTCCCATCTTCCCTGGGGAGGGATGGGAAGTTAGGTAGGACTGTACATTCTGGATCCAGTCTGAGCTTTCTAAGCCTTGTTGCAGGTCCTTTAGTCTAAGGTTCCAACTTGTCATGATGCTGTGTTGGAGCCTTCAACACTATCTTCACTACCACCACCACCATCACTGCACACACCCGTAGGCTGACTTCCGCTGAGCTGCAGCTTCCCCTCCACTGTTTCAGGAAGTAACCTCCCTTCCCCTCTGAAGCAGTCCCCACGCCTTCTGTCCTCTGCTGCAAGCCACCCACCAAGTGCTTTCCCAGCTTCTGCTCCCTGGGGCACCCAGGGACCCTTGGGGCTTCTACTCCCTGGGGTTGGGCCATGGAGGCAGGTGAGAACAGTTACTGAAGGGCTGTTGTGGGCCTGTTTCCATCTCTGGGCTCCACGGAGGAGGGCTTGGGGATGGCCGGGACTGTCTCCCACAGCGGCTTTGGACCTAACTGGGGATACCTAAGGATCCTGGAGGTAGGAGGGCACTAATTTTCTTGTCAGATTAATGGAGTTAGATTAGGAAAAAGGACACTTAAGTCTGGTAAAAAGAAACTTAAAGCTTGGGTTTTGTGGGGTCCTCATGAAAACCTAGAGGTGGGCTCTTTAAGAATATTAGCTGGCTCATGAGGTTTTAGAATGTCATAACTAGAGTAGGAAGGCCAGAACCCATAAAAAGACGGTTTAAAGTTGGCATGATGTCATGGCCAGAATGAATGCTGTCGTTGCAGGCCATTACCGAAAAGACTGCTTTCTGTTAGGGAGTGAAGAGGGATGGGGCCTTTGAAAGGGATACAGAAACTATATGATGTCAGAGCCCAGGTTAGCTGTGTGCAGTGCAGTGGAGTTTGGGTTTTTTAGGGAGAGGGCCGGTACCACTGAAGGAGTGTCCTGGTCTCTTTAAGCAGCTGTGGTGGGCTTTGGGGGCCTGGTGATGTCACAGGCGGGAGAGTTCAGGATTGGCTGACCACTGATCCTGCCTTTCCTTGAAAGGACTAGGAAGTGGGGGGCGTGCACCCTGGTTGCCATGGCAACACCAGCCTTCCTTGCTTCATCTCTCCCCTACTTGACCATTCCAGATGCAGTGAGTGAGGGGGGGGCCATGGCGGAGGAGCGGCCCCCCCGGCTGGTGGATTACTTCGTGATAGCTGGGCTTGCAGGGAACGGAGGACCCATCCCTGAGGAAACATGGGTTCCTGAACCCAGTGGGCTCCTGCGCCCTCCCCGGCCAGCTGAGCCCATCACAGATGTGGCTGTCATCGCTAGAGCACTGGGCGAGGAGGTGCCCCAGGGCTACACTTGCATCCAGGCTTCTGCTGGGGGCCACCCCTTGGAACTCAGTGCTGGGCTCCTGGGTGGAACTCAGCCCGTCATCTGCTACCGCAGGGGCCGTGACAAGCCCCCCCTCGTTGAGCTGGGGTGTGTGCACCTACCCATGCAGGCACCAAGGGAGGGCGGGAGGGGCTCCGGGGTGAGGCAGGGGTATGGGATGAGGAATGGACAGTGAGAATGGGAAGAGAGCGGGCTGGGGGTCAGGGAGAAGGGCCTGAAGTTATATATACTTAGTCCTCACACAGATTTGGGTTTGTGTACTGGTGCTGCTACTTGCTAGCTCTAACCTTGGGCAGGCTATGAAGCCCCTCTGGGCCTGTTTCCTCATCTGTAAATTGGGGGAAATAATACCTCCTCATAGGGTAGTTGAGAAGATTAAATAAGATCATCCATGTAAAGGGACTTAGCACAGAGTCAATAAATGGTAGCTTTTATTCTTAGCATTTATTAATGGGCCTGAGAGCTGTGGAAGGCTTGGAGGGGTTGTTACTGATCAAGAAGTAGAGCCAAGTGCAGAAGAGGGGATCTGGAGGGCAGAGCGATCGTGCTGTCAGGGTTTGACAAGGCTGAGTAGGTAGGATAGGACTAGGTAGGCAGATCTAGCAGGACTGGGGTCTTTCTTCTCTGTCCTGAGTTCTTGACATCTCTCTGCTCTTTCTGCCAAGGGTGTTGTATGAGGGGAAAGAACGTCCCAAGCCTGGCTTCCAAGTGCTAGATACGACACCCTACAGTCACTCAGCCAACCTGGCCCCTCCAGGCCCTGGGCACCCCCGCACCTACCTCACTTACCGGCGGGCAGCAGAAGGGGCAGGGCTGCATGCCCTGGGCATCACTGACCTCTGCCTGGTACTGCCCAGCAAGGGCGAGGACACTCCTCATACTTACTGCCGATTGCCCCGCAACCTCAACCCTGGCATGGTGAGTGGGGCCCCGGGCCAAGAGCTGAGACCTGCACCATCTCCCTGTGAGGGTGTGGACCCTGGGCACAAAGGGCAGCCTAGGACTGAGGCCTCTGTCAGCAAGGGTGGGCCCAGAGGGGAGTCTGGTCTTGGAGGACTGTGAGTAGTGGAAGTTCTAATCACCAAGACTACTTAGGGGTGGTGGAAAAAATGGACCCCAGAAATCTTTGTTAGCCGTGTGTCTGCTTGTCTCTTGCCATTTCTGGGGCAGTGGGGCCCAGCAGTGTACCTGTGCTACAAGGTGGGCCTGGCCAAGGCCAACACGCTCGTGTATGAGGCAGGTGAGTAGTCAACCCCTTGACCCTCTGTGTCTGTCTGC